CAACCCAACGTTGCATTGTGGTCCCTGGCACAGCTTCTGGCCGTTGGTAACCATGGCCTGCACTGTGAGTAGATCACGGAAGTCACCCCTGTGTACCTGGGAGGTCTGCTATGGTGCGTGCCCTTTTTCCTCAACGTGTAAGGCTACAGATGAGATGTTTTTGTTTACTTTGATTTTAAAAATATTTATCCTGTTTGGTGTTCATTGAATTTCTGGACATTTGAGTTTACACTTTTCATCAAATCTAGAAATACTTTCCATATAACTTCTTTAAATATTTACCTTCTTTCCCTGCCTTCTATTTTGGTGGTCTGCACAGTGTTTTTAAAATTTTTCCTTCTTTTCTTTTTTTTTTTTTAAAGAACTTTTTTTCCTCAAAGCATTTTAATTAGCATGCATTACTTATACAGGGGGTTCATCGTGACATTTTGAATATGCTCACATTGCACATTGGTTAGGTTTGCCCCCCACCATCTCTCTCCCTCATTCCCCTCCCCCTACTTTAAACAATTGCAAAAGGTTCAGTTGTTCTATTTCATATAGGTATAGAAAGTACATTCACCATATCCCCCTTCCTTTATCCCCTCATCTTCCCTCCCCCTCCCCCAAGGATTTATTTTTCTTCTAACCCATCTATGTTTTATATTTAAGGTGAGTTTCTCGTAGATGGGTCCATAATTGGATGTGACTTTCTTAATCCAACCTGACCACCTCTGCTTTTCAGCGTTGTGTTTGGATTATTCACAGTCCATGTGCTGTTAATCTCTATATATTATTAGACCCTTGGAGATTGTCTTTGAAGTCACTGTTTATATTTTCTCCCTGACCTTCATTTTGGATAATTTCTATTGTTACATCTTCCTTCAGTTTTCCAGATCCTTCCCTTTGCAGTGCCTAATCTACTGTCAGTGCCACCTGGTGTCATTTTCACTTCAGATATTCTAGATCTTGTTTCTAGAAGTTCTATTTGTTCCTTATCTACATCTCCCATTTCCCTTGCTCTATTCTTTTCCCTCTAAATCCTTGAACATATTGGATTGTACTGCTGCTTTAACATCCTTTTTTTCCTGGTAACTCCACAACTCTTTGACTTATGAGCCACTTCCTTCTTCCCCTCCCCCTTCCCCTCTCCTCTTCCTCCTTTCCCTTTTCCTCCTTTCCCGTTTCCTCCCCTCCCTTCCTCTCCTCAGGCAAGTGCTCCACCACCCCAGGCAAGTGCTCCACCACTTGAGCCTCTCTGCCAGCCCTCATTTTCAGTTATGTTTCTCAGTTACTGATATATAGTTCTTTTTGTCTTCTAAATTAGCTTAGACTTTGTCGGCTTACCAGGGTACAGTTTGAGGGAGACACCTGTTTGGATATCATCTAACCTGGCTTGTTTTTAAGCAGTGGAAAGTCACCCCACACCACAAACAACATAGGTATCATGCTGAGTTCCATCTTCAGTATCTCACTGTAGGGTCTGAAGAGGGGAGGGTATCTTTTTCTGCAAGCAAGCATATGCTCCCTGGCTTTAAGGAAGTCTTGTGATTTGGTTAGAGAACTTAGGGAGCAGTATTCACACCACCCTTCCTGAAGTGAAGTGTTAGTCACAGGAGAGACTTGTGACACAGGTACCTCTGACATCTTCCCACCACCAAGGACTACTTGTACTCTAAGAGGATGCTGTGTCCTGCTCTTTGGATGCGAGTATCATCTTGATCAGTACCTTACTAAAATCATTCTATCTGTGTGGATTTCTTTCCTTGTAAACTCATGACTGGGTTTTATTACCCCATGGCTATGATTTTTGTGTGTGTGTGTAAGTCATGTATCTATAGAATATGCTTGAGAAAGGTGTGATTAAAGATTGCTACCAAATACTCAACATAAGCTTACATAACTTAAATAAGTTTATGTTGAGTATTTGGTGTAATTCATTGGCTACACAGCATTTATAGACACAGATGTATTTAAGAAACATTGCTCTATCTTGGATCAGAGTGTTTATATTTTCCAGGAAGATCTCAAATATTTAAAACAGCAAATGTCTTCTTCAGCTTGGTCAATAGATACTAAATTAAGTATTAAGATTGGTGCTTAAAATGTAATTTTGGCAAGTTAAAAATTTAATTTAGTAATATTTCACATTAAAAATAACTTAGCTCAAAGCATCAGGGGCCCAGAAACACTTTTCTTAATGGCTCAAAATGGTTATTGTGACTGCATTGTGCCTGGTGAGGGCTGTGTCTGTGATTACAGTTTCAGGGTGCCGTGCCTCTAGTCTGTGGCCCCAAGGGTTGCTCTGTTGGGTGACTTCTGACTGTTTTGCAGTGTCAGTTTCTGCTGTCAGCTGTCACTTCTGACTAGTAATTAGCATGCCAGCCTGTAGCGTTTATTTTTCTCTATCTGTCTCTACTCTGAAGTGAGGTTGTACTAGTTCATTGATCTTATTAGAAACTAGGGTAAACTAAATATAGTGGTCTCCCTTATTCATGGAGGACATGCTCCACAACCTCAGTGACGCTTGAAACTGTAATAGTATCAAACTCTCTCTATATATACTGTCATAAAAATTTTCCCATAAACTTGGCACAATAAAAGATTACCAAGAATAGCTAGGAATAAAATAAAACAATTCTTTTGTTTTTTGTTTTTGGCAGTATTGGGGTTTGAACTCAGGGCATCATGCTTGCTAGGCAGGAACTCTACCACTTGAGCCACTCCACCAGCCCAGAAATAAAACAATTATAACAATATATTATAATAATAGTTTTGTAAGGTTTTTGAATTGTTCATTTTTAGAGTTTTCCTTATAATATTTTCAGACTGTGGTTAAGCACAGGTAGTGATAAGGGAGGTTTTCCTGTGTGCTTACTTCTAAGGGATGCTAAAGTTGCAGAAGAGAAGTGTTCTGATTTCAGTGATGTCAGATTCTCCAGGTTGTTCGTCACTAAGCACAGGTGGATGAGGCGTTTTCCGGAGACTAAGCCATGGCTTGGTGAAGTGTCAGTGCTTAGCCATTGGGTGCTCTGACTTGGGTGCACATCTGTCTTCTCTTGTGAGTTTTCCTTAAGCTGGTATTGAAATTATGTTTCCATCTTTAGAAAATGTTGGTTTAATTAAGGGTTGGGGAGAGCTGTGGGGGTAGGAAAAGGACTGGTTTGGTAACTGACAGTTACGAAACAGATGAAAGGTGAGCTAATTATTATGAATTTCTACTGTCGAGTAGAAATGTAACGTGAGCACATTTGTAATTTAATAGTGTACCTCCTGTAACTCAGTATATCCCAAATATTGTTTCATCTTTCAGTCAATATAGAATTAACACATTTTATATATTCTTTTTTATATTAAGTCTTTGAAATTCAGAGCATATTCTCTGCTTAAAACATACCTAAAAAAAAAATACCTAAATTTAGATTAGCCACACTTCACATGCAAGCCACGTGTGGCTCACTCATGGCTACCATATTGGCTAACACAGTGTTAATATCTATTTTTGTCTGATTAACATTGTTTTTAGTATTATATATATATATAAAATATATGAATATAACACAAATTGCAGCACAAATAATATGTTGATAGTTTGCAACTATACTTGATAGATCCGTGTTTCTGGCTACTGATAACAATGCTTACAGCACTCTAGTTTAGGAGTTTTTTCCTATTGAGGTATTTGGCAGGGGATCTTTGGGATGTACTGTTTCTTGTGATGAAATGTGATGACAGCTTTAAATATGGCTAATATTTTTAAGGTGAACTGTGCATACACAGTAGGAAAAGAATTTGTTGGATTCATTCATGCAGTATACAAGTAATTAGGATGCAATTTAGAATTCTAAAGTGCAGGAGAATAAGGCTAGAGCAAAATGTCAAACACAGGAACAGTCCTAGTGATCTGACACATAACATTCAGCCTCATAGAGGACCAAGTAGAAGAAGTCATTGGTGGAATATGAAGTATGTACACATAGAGAAATTTTTGGGAAAAATGACTCATGACAAAAAGTGGGTTGTGTAAACTTTAAGGCAATATGATGGTTGAGTTTGAGGTATTTAGCAAGTACCCTTATGCAGTTGTACCTTTTTGATTTGACGACTACCGCCATATTGGTTTGTAAAATCTTTAATCTTAAAACTTTGTACTTACAAAATTATTCAAGTAAATTGTATAAGTGAGTTATTTCTATTCTTCTCAGGAGCCATCAGCACTTGGGGTCAGTAAGATTAAAAGATTTGTTCTTAGGTTTCTTCAAGCAGAAGGTGGGATTCTAACACTGGATTAGACCGGATTCCATATAACATCTGGGCTAGTAGATACGGCGAGATCATTATATTAGCAATGTCGATGTCTGTGTGAGAACTTTTCCAGAGTTCAGAGCATTATTGTAAGGCAGAGTTTTTAACCTCAGGGAGCAGCCACTGAACAGATGTGTACCCTTTTAACAAAGGGATGGTGAGTGAACTGAATTAGGCAAGTTCCTTACGTAGCCCGAGGCTCTGTGGATGCTGACTTGTTGTACAACATATCTTGCAGTTACAACTTACATTCCTCCAGGGCATTTCTTTTGGGGGAAGGATTGGCTCAGGGTTTAGAGACCCAAACAATAAGGAACCAGAGATGTGTAGTTGTAGAAGGGAGCTCCAGCTGAGGTTATCATAAACAAAATTTAATAGTAAGACCTAAGGCTCTGAGGTGGGGATGAGTTAAATACTTACGATGGACAGAAGAGAAGGGTAAGTTATGTTCAGAATAGTGCCTGTGGATGCTATGCTTTGAATGTGGACTCCAGATTTCATGTGTTGGAAATGTCATCACCAGTTAGTAGTGTTGAGAGGTAGTTAGGCCATGAGAGCTCTGCCTTCCTGAATGGATTAATGTCATTACTGCAGGAAGGGGTTTGTTACCTGAGAGTGAGTCCCTGTAAGAGATGGGTTTGCCCCTCTCACTTGCTTTCTCATGCTATGTGATGCCTTCTGTTATGTTATGGTATAGAAAGAAGACCCTTACCATCTGTGGGATCTCCAGCAGGGACTTGCCGGCCTGCAGAACCATGAACCAAAATAGGTATTTGTTCATTGTAAATTACCCAGTCATTGTTACACCAGCATAAAACTTACTAACACAGTGGGGACTTTCTACACAAAGGGTAGTGGAAGCTGCCACTCAGTTTTGAAAAGGTGATTGACTGCATCTAGTTTTGCATTTGGAAAATATGACTGTGGCAACTGTGTGGACATCAGACTCTTGAGGGTTAAGAGTAGGGAGAAGCTGAGTTCAGAGATTACTGCAATGTCCATATGAAATGATGGGGGCAGGGTAAGGGAGGGAAGAGAGAAGGGTAGTAAGATTCAGGATCTATTCTGGGGCAGGGAGAAGAGGGAGCTGATAGGATTTCCCGACAATTATTTATGGGATTGGAGGATAAATACAAGTATTTGGAAAACAATTGCAAAGGTGGATGTTGAACTGTTTTTAATTCAGGTCAATTGTCATTTTGGGGGATTGTCCCCCAGTATAAGGGCAACCATCTATCGGTTCAATGTCAGTGCACACTAAGTGCTAAGGATAGCAGGAGAACAATATAGTCCTTGACTTTAAGTGTATACTGATTGGATCTGGGTAGTTAGCATTGCCATTCCTCAAACACCTATCAGTTCTCCTGCTGGTTTCCATCCCCAAGTAGTCCCCCTGTTTTACACTGTAGTCATTCTTTTTCTTTTTGGTCTAGAATCTGTCTGTGTATTAGAGAGAATATGAGATATTTGTCTTTCTCAGTCTGGCTTATTTCACTTATCGTGATGATTTCCAGTTCTATCTATTTTCCTATACATAACATAATTTCATTCTTCTTTATAGCTAAATTATGACCTATTTGAATTATGTGTCTTCATATATGAGGCCACCAGAGGCCTGAATTTAACAGGCCATTGCTATAGTTTGGATCTGGACTGTAACCCAAAGGCCCATATGTTGAAAGCTTGGGCTATTGGGAGGTGGAGGAACCTCTTGGTCACAAGGGCCTTGAAAGGGGTTATAGGATCCTAGTCTTTTCCTTTTTCTTTCTTTCTTTTTTTTTTTTTATCCTAGTTATGAGGTGAGCAGTTTCGGCTGACAACACACTTCCACTGTGTATTGGTAACATCACCACAGGCCAAAGCAGTGAGACCAACTGGTTATGGGCTGAAACTTCCAAAACTGTGAGCCAAAAACCTTTTTTCTTTATAAGTTGACTGTCTTAGATATTTATTATAGTGATGGAAAGCTGATTAGTACAGCTATGGTAACCCTGAGATAGGTTATCATAGTGAGAAAGGCACTATGGTCCCTAATAGAATTTCTGCTATGGTTGTGGTGATATTTCTACTTGTTTGAAAGAAAGCTGAGAGGAGACATGTTAGAATTGAAGTACTGCCTTATATATCCTGGGTGATTAGTAATTTAAAATAGAATGTTGGGCTGAGAGTGTGGCTCAGTGGTAGAACACTTGCTTAGCATGCACAAAGCCTTGGGTTTGATCCCCAGCAACCCACACCCACCGCCCACCCCCCCCCCCGCCACACACACATGATAGAAACAAATGAAGTGTCTCTACTTACGAAGATTTTTGGGCAATACACATAAAACCACACATTTGAAAGACATTTATACATTTTTGTAGTTTTCTTAAGAAATGTGTTTAAACAAAATAAACTCAAATATCCTCATCCCTCAGTCTGCCAGTCTACTTTGCAATTCAAGGCTTAGGGGGGTGATTTCTGTACATCTGCGGGCCAAGAGTCCAGACTGAATGATGTCTTCATTTGGTGTGTATTTCTGACATTGCTTTCCCTCAGCACACACTGGGAAGCTGCACACAGTTTTGTTATTTGTGTGACATTGGGAAGGGTGCTTCCTGAAACTGTTGCCTACTATTGTACCCTGGTGTAGAGGAGAGGCATGTCATTAACCTGGACATGGGTGATGAGGATTGACATCTTGGAAGAGAGAAAACCCAAGTTGTGTCTTGATAGATGAGTTGCAGGAAGAAAGAGAATAGGCTGAGAAGAAGGAATTCCAGCTGGAGGAAACATTTCACAGTCCTTGCTTTATGAATTATTTTTGGACTGGTATGTTTCTTCACCAGATTACAAGTTCTTTAAATGCAGGGAAAGGATCTTTTAAATTGAATTTTTATTAGTGTATAGTAGTTGTACAAAATAATGGGTTTCATTGTGACATTTTCATAATGCATATGCTTTGCATATACATGTATACTTTAATCATATTTACCCCTTGTTACTCTCTCTTATACTCTCTCTCCCCTCTTCTTCTGCAATAGTACCCCTTCTACTTTCATGTCATTTTCCTTCTGAGATTCTGCATATGACAGAAAATGTGATGTTTGTCTTACTGAGTCTGGCTCATTTTGCATAACATGATGATCTCCAGTTTCATCCATTTCCTGTAAATAACATGATTTCATTCTTTTTATGACTGAATAATACTCCATTATATCCATTCTTCATTGGTGGGCTCTTGGGCTGATTCCATAACTTGGCCATTGTGAATAGTGCCACAATGAACATAGGTACACAGTTATGTCTATCATAAGCTGACTTGAATTCCTTTGGATATGTGTCTTAAGACTGGTGTAGCTGAGTCATATGGTAGTGTTTTTAGTTTCTTCAGGAGCCTCCATACTGATTTCCATAGTAGTTGCACCAATTTCATGCCCACCAACAGTGTATGAATGTTCTTGTTCCCCCATATCCAGTGAGAGCATTTTTTTTTTTTGTGGTACTGGGGATCGAACCTAGGGCTTCTGCATTGTGCATACAGAATGTCTAGGATTTCTGGTGAATGAATATCTTCTTGTTTGGCTTACCTCCTTGATTTACTTATCTTTTTCTGCATGTTCCTGTCTCCAGGATAGAGTAACCTCTAGTTATCAGGATTTGCCTTTCCTGGCTTAAGCACTTGGAACCATGTCTGTGAGCCTGGAATGGCTCTTGAGATCCTTTCCCTTCTCTTTCCTTCTCTCTGAGGGTACACTATTTTTTTAGGAAAAAAAACCCTGAAAGGATAAAAACATTCAGTTGGTCAACAGATATTTAATCATCTCTTTTAGGAAACTCCTTGAAAACCTTCCCCAAATTATATTTTATAATGGCTACATAAATGACTGTAATGGTAACACATAAAAAACTCAGCTCGGATGTTGAGCCGGTTGCTTAATTCCTCTTTGCCTCATTTTTATCATCTCTAAAATGAGCATACTGCTCACAGGATTGTTATGAAGTTAAATGGGTTAATACAAAAAGAATGCTTAGAATAGTGGAGGCACAACAAAAGATAGTATGCTTCTTATCGTAATTATTTATGACCTCTTAGTGACATGGGAGACAATTAGTTGATCTGGCAACTCTGAATTGGTTGAGAATGTTGGGAAGTCAGAAGATCCATATGCCTTGGCTTTTTAAAGATTTTCCTGTATTTTAAACATTCTCACTTCTGTGTCTGGGAAGAAAACGTGATACACAAAATGTCAAATCAACAAGAAAGTCAGGAAAAGCCAGCACACTGTGACATCTGTGTGGTGCCAGTGGGCATGGAATAGAGGCGAATTGCTAAAATCTGACTACACATGTTAAAAACATTTTTTATTATTGTTTATTGGGGGTACATTGTGACATTTACAAAAGTTCTTAACATTATATCAAATATATCATAGTTGAATTCAGTTCACCCCCTCCATCATTCTCCTTTACCCCCCTCCTCCCATTCCTGGAATAGTTTCAACAGGTCTCATTTTTCTATTTACATACATGAGTACATAAGATTTCCATCATATCCACCGTGTTAACCCTTTCCTTGTATCTTCCCCCTTCCCACTGGTACCTACTCCTCAGACAAGACCTGTTTTGCCTTCCTGTTCTCTGTTTTTGTAAAAAAAAAAAAATGACATTTTTGTTTGTTTAAGATAGCTATTCTGGGTGTTTCATTGTGACATTTCCATGTATATATGTATTATAACCCATTGGTTCATCCCCTCTATTTTTGTCCTTTCTACCTTCGTCCCCTTCTTATGGTGATTTTAACAGGTTTAAATTTTCTATATTCATTCTTGTATAGAAAGTATATATCAACCATATTCACCTCTTAACTTCCTTCTTTCACCCTCCCTCTCTCGTATGTGACCTCCCCTTAGTGTGACCTGGTCTTCATAATATTGCCATATTTGTACTGGGTTTATATTCCACATGTGAGAGAAAACATGTGGCTTTTCACTTTCTGAACCTGGCTAACTTCATGGATGGAACTGGAAATTTACATGTATTTGGAAAGTTGTGTTAAGATTGTTGATGGAAACAGATATTAGTTTCCTGTGGTCAGTGATGGTGAGCCAACTTGACAGGCTGATAGGCACACAAAATGAGTGATAGCTGGAGCAAATGAATGTGTTGTTCCCTTGTCTATGAACATTTGACTTTTGTAGGCTTGGAGCGTCTACCTCCCTGGGAAAGATGAGAAGCAATGCCAAGAGAAACACCAAGGCATTTCACATTATACCTTTCAAACCATGGCTGGAATGAGCAGGCAAGTATCTAAAAGCTGCCTCTGCTTTGATCTTTGGGAGGTGGAAAGGAGAGGGATGGGGAGAGAAGAAAGCAAAGTGACGCATCCTGATTCTTCTCTCTCTGGAGAAAGGCTCCCTAGCCAGAGAGTGAGGTATGTGGGATAAGTGGGGTAATCCAGAGGGGTAACTGGAGCCTTTGTTTTCCTGACCTGCCCCTCTGTATCTGAGGTGGTCTGGGAGCTGATTCAAAAGCTTTTGGTTCTGGTGAGGCTGTGGGTGGAGGGCTGATGGGCAGGTAGAGCACACCAGATGCAGAGGTCTCTACACAGGCAAGGCAGGAGCCCAGATGAGGCAGAGCTATCAAGAACACTGATGCCCTTTGAAACCAGTCATCAATCCCAGCAGGGAGACTAGGGAAATCACTCTGTAGACCAGATGAGGCAAAGATCCTAACTCCTACCTCCATCTCCATCCCTCCCCTCCACTCATGCAGTGCCATTTAAAGGGGATAAGCAAGAGGAGAATTCAAGAGAGAGGGAAACTGCTCATGTGAACTTTTCCAATTGGACTAAGTGCCAAACAAAACTAGACATTTCCATTTTTCCTAGCTGTCTGTTGGGATGTGCCTTGGGAGTGACTAAGATTAGTTACATTGAAATTTAAGGAACTACATTTTCCTTTGTCCACTTAAGGCACAATGTGAAATTTTGTGTCCACTCAGCTCCTGGGTTGAATACATCTATTGACTGTGTCCCATGGCCATGGATGCAGAGGTGGCCAAGATGAACACGGGCCCTTGGAGCTTAAATTAAAAGTTAAAAGCAGGAGGCTCTGAGTTCAAATACCTCAATACCACACACACACACACACACACACACGCACACGCACACGCACACGCACACGCCACGCGCGCGTGCGCACACACACAAGTTGGAAAACAGAAAACAAGCAAGCAAACAATTTCATGGAATGGTAAATTCAGCTTATCACTCCCTGAGCATGTGCAACATGAGGGCACAACTGAGGGGAATAGTGTAGGGGGGTTAGTGGGCAGAAGTGCTTCATTGGAGAAGTGAGATTTAAGTGAGGCCCAAGTGGCAGGAAGGAGCTGGCAAAGCAAAGATGAGTGCAGAGCACTCTGGGTACAAGGAAGGCCAGGCACCAAGTCTCTGGTGAGGGCACAGAGATGATGTCTCTAAGGAACCCGGCCACTGTGGGTGGAACTTCCAGAACAAGGAGGAGTGGTCACTAATAATGCTGACTATGTGGCCAAGGAATGGTAAGTCTTCAAAATGCTTAGAACAGCAAACCACAATTGTGAAGAAATTGCACCTCTCCTGGGATTAACTATTAAAAACTGTACAGTCAGCCCTCCATATCCCTGAGGTCTACACTAAAAATAATGCGATAACAATAATGTAAACAATGATACAGTGTAATAACTATTCACATATCATTTAGACGGTAGGTATTTTAAGCAATCTAGAGATGGTTTAAAGGATGTGTACAGGTTCTATGTAAATTCCACCCATTTTATGTAGGAGACTTGAGCACTTGAAGATTTTGGGTCCATGGCAGAGAAGGGGTATCCAATGAGGGATGAGTATTCATGAGTATTGAATTGGCAACATAATTTTAAGGCTGGTGTCCCTGACTTGAACCCAGATTTGCAGTGGAGAGCATCTCTCCTAGCAGAGGAAATGGCTACAACAAGTCACTGGATTTGAATTTCAAGTCATAGCCAATCCACCCTATGTGGAAAAATCAAGCACTCTGGATTGAGTACTTGAAGCATAGTTTTTTGGTAAATGCATATAAAATGCATTTCAAAAAAGCACATTTGTCTTCATTTACTTTACATGACGAATTTTAATATAAGGTACAGAATGAGTTTCAAGGGCACACGTCCAGTTTGTATTGCTGTACATGTTGGAAACAAGGCTTTGAATTACTGTGGCTCAGCTTTCACCATGTCCAGGAGCCAACTAAGCTTAAGCTAAGTGTCATTGGCATGTATCTGTGCTCACACACAATTACCTGGAACACCCTGCCCTTCTCTGCACAGCTAAACCACACTCATTCTTCTAAGCCTAGCTCAAATCCTTCCTTAATGCAATCCTTGGCCCTATTTGAGTCTGACAGTCATTCTTATGCTTTGAATTCCCTTATTTCTCAGTCTTTCTTGCTACTAAAAGTTAAGCTTATGCCTTCAACTATGTACTTGTCCTTCCCACTGCCTTGTACCTAGGAGGTGTTTAATAACAATGAATTCAGCACCCAGCAATCTTTTAAACCATAGATAGTTCATGGCCTGTTACTTTTGTTACACCTTCTCTTTCCCTGGGAAAAGAGAAAAGGGAAACCTGTAAGCTTTTTACAGAAATAACTGTCATTTTCCTTTTGCTTCTTTCTTTGGAATCCTAGCATAGAAGTGGATCACAAATGCTATATTTGGAGAGACATGGTTTGCACAAAGTGGCAGCTTGAAAAGGCCCCTGAAATGTGTCTGTTAAGGGCAGAATAATCGCATTTTGCCTCGCACAGCATTTTCATTAGGTCTGTTTGGTTAGGAGAACGGATCAGCCCAAGTACTTCCCCAGTGACTGGATTGCTTTGATGTGTCTGTGTTCTGGAGGATTAGGAAACATCTTTGTCAATGTGGGGTAGAGGCCAGAGTTGAATCTGAAACTTTGAAGAGGGGACTGTGTGTGTTAAAAAGCTCTGGAATCATTGCATTGTTTTCCTGGAGGCAAAGAGACAACCACCTTTACATATAGTACATTAAAAAGTAGGAGAAAGATACAACCAACTTCTTAACTCATGCTGTAGAAGTTCAACCACCTATGTTTATTAGAAAATGTAAGGTGGTAGAAGTTTATTGTTTCCTTGAGATGGGCGTTGGGATATAATTAAGTTGTTAACTATGAAAGAACTTCATTTAAGTAAGTGCTCAGCAAACTGTGGCCTGTGAGGTAGGAAATCTGAGTTAGTTAGCTTTCCATCACTGTGACAAAATACCCTGTGGTGGGGAGTACATCATGGTGGGAGTGTGTGGTAGAGGAAACCTGCTTGCCTCATAATGGCCTAGAAACAAAGAGGAAGAAGGCAAGAGAGCAGGCCCCAATATCTCCTTCAAGGGCACGCTTCTAACGACCTCACTCCCTCCACGAGGCCCCACCTTCTAAAGGTTCCACCACTTCTGTATGGCATCACTAGGCTGCTAACCATGTAACACATGGGCCTTGGGAGGCATTTGCAATCCAAACCATACCAAAAGGATTTCACATTTTTAAAGACTCTTGGGCTAAGAGAGAAGGAGGAGGAGGATTAGCAGGAAGAGAAGAGGGAGAAGGAGGAGAGGGAGATAATTATGAGATGAAGGAGGAGGACAGGGATCACATGTGGCCTACAACATTCATCAGCTCACACTTTAAAAAAATTGGCAACCCTTGATTTCCATAATCAGTTTCTATTTTGTGTATAAAGAAACCCAGGCTCAGATGGTAGCTGCTTACCTAAGCTCAGAAGGTAGCTATGTTACCTTAGGTAACGTAGGTAGTCTGATAAAGAGAAAGGAGAATTGGACTCAGGTTTCTGGAGATCTGGCTTCTAATCATACCTTTGCTATGAGCTAAGAAGTTTTGTGGTTGTTAATAAGGATTTCCTTCGGGCTTTGTCATTCAAGAGTTGACAGTTCTAACACTAAGAGTTTAGTTCAACTTCATAGGAAGAGTACAGAGTCCTCCACAGACTGCACTCCCTGCAAGCACCAGCCACAAGCTCAGGGTCCCAGGCCACCTGCACTGCTGACCAACTGGATATAAATTATGAGTCCTCACTAAACTCTTCAGAGAATTTGGGAAAGTGTTATACTTATAATTAGTTTTATAATAAAGAACAAATCAGGAGCAGCCAAATAGAGCCATACAGAGTGAGGACTGGGAGGGTCCCAAACATGAGGCTTCTGTGATCTGAGGCCGTGTCACCTTGTCAGCACACCAGTGTAAATCACTGACCTCCATAACTCACCGAAGCTTTGGCGTCCTGAGCTGCTTCCTTCATTTGTTTCACTGTTTCGGCATTATTAGTGGGACCACTGGCCATATGGTTGAACTCAGTCTCCAGCCTCCCTAGAAGTGGGAAGTTGGGCTGATTCACCAGGCCGGACCCTCTAATCACATGATTGGTCTTTTTGACTGGCCAGGCTCATCTAAAGCTAGATAGGGACCCACCATGAGTCACCTTCTTAGCATAAGCTCAGGTATGGACCAAGATGTCTACCATAAATAACAAAGATGCTCCTATGCCCATATCACTGTCTCCCAGGGATCCAGGACAAAGACCAGATACATTCGGGCTTTTTATTGGTGGGGGGGGCAGGGACTGGCTTCAAACTCACAATCCTTCTGCTTTAGCCTCTTAAATGCTTGTATTTTAGGTGTGCACCATGACATGTGGCTCAGACAAATTCTTTATTAGACAACAATGTCCAGTTAGAGACTGTACCTCTAATTTCTTTCTGTTGCTTGAGTCTTACCTAGAGTGAGTTACAGGCTGATTGTCTTAGGAAAGTCTGTTTGACTTAGGAAAACTAGGATATTTTGTCCAGATTTCTACTTTGAAATAGTAAAACTTTGCCAGGGAAATGGACTAGATAGGTCTTTAATATTTTTTGTTTTGAACAATTTGAGTTTGGGGAAAATACGGAAGTTTAGAAAGAAAGATTTTGGTTTTGTGTTATGTAAGGCAACAAAATACTTTGTAATAATTTGCCTTACTTCACTTTACTTACTTTCACTTTGTGTTTTTTACTTTAAGTTCTGAACTCCCTAGGTCTGTTTAGTTTATTATGTTAATATTTATTTATGCTTAACACATAAGTCATGAAATAAACAGGTACAGGATATATGTGATTGTAACCTTTATTAGGAAGGAATTTTTAAAGCCTAATTCTTTGGGATTAGTGGATGTAATGGGTAGAAATAAGCTGTCACCCTCACCTCTACCTGCTTGCCCTCTGGAGA